GATAGAGAACATCATTTAATATATTTTAAATATTTAAATGTTAATTATAGTAATATTTTAATATTTAATAGGAATTTTATTGTGATTAGACTGACAAGATTTAAACAAATATATTAATTTTCGCAAAGTTAAGTCAGTGTCACGAATATAAGAAATTAAAACAGTGATTAAGTGATTAAAAATTTCTCGTGAAACAATGAAAACGTAATAAATATTTCCCGTTGTCCTGTTTGCAGCAGCAAACAACCAATTAAAATTCTTAAGCAAACATTTTCGATGGCGGAGAAACTCAACTACGACGCTCAAGAGATCTGAGCGTAATACTTCCTAAAAAGGAAATATCTCAAAGATACTACAATTTGATAAACGGAGGACTTCCACATTCAATTCCTGTTACTCAGGAAACGAATGTTATCTGTAGACATTTTTTTCACATTAACCATATCCAGAGCTATGACTCAGATCATATAACGCGCAGACTTGACGTTTAGCTGACAGTGGAGCGCTTTAAACACGATACGAGGTCTTTTATTCCTACAGCATTGACAGGTAATATTGAATCACATGCACTGCTAGTTTCGTGTCCAGAAATCAGCTAGCAAGATTATAAACCCACTGTGCTTCTAACCCCGACGAGAGTCCACAGCTGCTAAAACAAATTTATGATCACTGGCAAATTCTATGACGCCACTATGAAGGCACTGCGTGACGCCATCGAACAAAAACGAGGGGGCCAAGTTGACAAATACTTTCTCTCTCCCTCTCCGTGATAAACCGACGTCTGAAAGTAACGAACTTCCAGTGGCTGTGAAATACAGACCAGTCACACGTCATACATTCCACACTCGGACTGAAGCGACAATTTCCTGTTCACTTTCCTGAGAAATGTCTAGAGCAGTGGTATTCAACCTGGGGTACGCGAAGACATCTTAAGGGATACGTGAAATTTAAAAATATATATTATTTTATGATAAACACTGAATAATCAGTAATGTAATTTATTTAATTTATTTTAGATGTAGATTATATACTATGTATAACTTGAATTATACACCAACAACTTTGGGGGTACAAAGTTGAAGAGAAATTATATCTGGGGGTACGCGAAGACATCTTAGGGGGTACGTGAAATTTAAAAAAAATATATATATTATTTTATGATAAACACTGAATAATCAGTAACGATCTGGAAGGAAACAAAGGAGTAAGGTTAGGAACATCAATTATTTTTGTATTCGCATATTTAATTCACATGACGTCACTAACTGGTACAAAGGAAGGAATAAAAGTCTCAAGATCAGTCAGAAATTAGCAATTGTATCAGCTGGAGGAGGAAATGATTGACAGACGCGCTCTTTAAAATCGTGTTGCACCGACTCCCTAAAAATCACTTGTAAATTAATCCGTAGGTCTCAAGTTCACAGCTTACAGAAGATAAGGCAATTCATTACGACTAAATCTGTCAACATAAATTAATCACTACCCATAACGTAGTTCTATATTAATGTCCGTGTTACTTAGTTACCGCTTTTTACACTTTACAATGAGGGCGCTGTCTAATACACACACGGGGTGGTGGGGGTGTACAAAATGTGTCTGAAGACGTACACCGAACCCCTCCAACGAAGACACGAAACAGAGACACTTTGAAGTCGTAACAACTTTAAAGTACTTTGTTAAAGATTACCACTTCTGTAACGCAATCGTGACCTGCGATTCCCAAAGCACAGACTATCGCGAAACGCGTTTTCTTTGCGGTACGGACTGAATTCTTGATCATTTAAAGGAGCTTCGTCTTCAGACTGTTAAACTAGACGAGAATATTCGATTTGCGGCCGAGGTTCGAATACGGTTCGTCCAAAACGCAAAGTCAACAGAGCTCCGGCTGAGCTGAACTGCTCGGCAAACACTTTCCACGTGGAATGTCACGTGACCATAAGAGAATCTCCGCTGCCAGCATTACGTCACGACTCCCGATTTTTGGCCCTACCTGGAGTGAATACGAAACGCAAATCTTCTGGGTGGCAGGAACGTACATTACATACATACATACATACATACATACATACATACATATATTCATGGAGTATTTTAAGCACGCACAAGCTGTGCTTAGTGGCGACAAAGCTTACTCTGCTCAGAGCCGGGAGCACAGACAGACACGGCCTGGCACCTGCCATACACATAATCTGACCGATTAGCGAACATATGGGGACCAACCAGCCATATTTCGAAGTGATACTATCTGGCTATCTTACAGAAAATAACTTTGATACAAAACTTCATTTGTCCGAGTATCTTTCGTTCACCAAGGTCTTCAAATATTTAAATATTCAAATATTTCTTCCTTCCGCACACACACACACACTAACCTTTTGAAACCGAAACTACTGAGGTATTCAGGAATTCAATCCGAAAGCACGTCTCCATGACAACGATCAATTGGTTAATTGGTTAATGCAGTTTAACGGACCGGTGGCTTTTTACTTTGAGATCATACGAAGCGTGTTAATTATGAAATGCAGAGTTACTGTTAAGTCAGGTGGTATATACAGTTACCACTGCGCTTTCAAGGGGTCAACGAATTTTTATTAATTATAGAAAGCATATCCCCCCCAATGCCATTTTCAACAACCCTTTAACCACGTCCAAGCAATTCTTTTTCATCCGGATTCATTCGCCACGTTTCACATCAATACAAAACAAATAGAAGGATTTTCATGATTTTAATATTCAGTGTTTTTGAAAAGTGACGGATCTGCCCGCTGCCACATCTGAATCAAACCGACCCCCACGTTGAAAACCTCAAATCCTACATATTGATAATTACACGAATGTGGGTTCAATTTCAACACAGGAAACTATCATGAACTCAACGAAACCCGATGCACCATGAGTAACATTACAGATCATTTAATCAATTTTTCCATTAGATTAATTAGGAGTTAGTGCAGAGTTCGTCCACTTTGGGCCAAGTCGATTAGACTGGACCCACCCATTCAAATCAGTCACGATGACAGGCAGTATACACTCCCCGCAAGCATATCAGCGAAGACTTGTATGTCGTAGGCGTTAACTCAAGTCTGCTCCAACTTCGCGGTCGCAACTTAACTTTCAAGTTCTGAATATGCTTACTGAACCAGAATACGTTCAACCATACGTCATTAATTCGCTAGTCACGAAATCATTTTCTTCATGAAACAAAATTATTGTTTCCCAAAATGAAATTGGTAGTCTGTATGACAAAAATCAACTAATAAACACTGGGATAGGATATGGAATAAAGTGGTCGTGACCTACTTTAAGGTACTATCCAGACTTGTGCCTGAAAGCCTGGGTAAGATCATACCCAACGCATTCAGGATACTCTCCGGGCCGAGATTTGAACCGCGGGCCCATCGAATATGAACCAGGAGTGCCAACCACACGACCGTCCATACAATCCGGTTATTCAGAAAAATTGTTAACCCGGTCTACGGTGTTCAGAACAGCGAAATTTAAAAATGGAAATAGTTCACTTCGTGTGTTACAGTTTTCCTCGTACTTTTGTTGGGACATAGTTAACACCACAGGCACGGTGTTCCGGTCTGCGGTTAACTACCGTCCATCATCACTGGACATCGCAGTCAGTGAACGAACAATGAGTAGTATGATTTCTAACATATGACAGTGATTTCTGTATCGATTCCAAAACCACAGCCATGAAACGCTGCTGTAAAGACAAAGGTTTCAACCGAGAGTGACCTCGTATGAATTGGTCAGCATGTCTACCAATCGTGGAGCACAAGCGTTATTTTGTGGGGCCGGTGTGTTGAAATATAGGTAGAAAATGTCACCGACTACCTTGCTGTGAAAATTTCGGCACATTTACAGATAAAAATCTGCACTGACTACAACGCCGACACACTGAAACAAGGACCAATTCCAATTAACTGTTCCCATACCTACACATAAATACCAAACACGTGTGCATATGACGTCATTTAACGTTCGGACAAAGGCCTAATTCTCTTTAACTTACACACGATATAAAACACTTCCCGGGACCAAAATTACGAACAAATATACAGGGTGATTCAGAGCTCTGGCGCAATACTTAAGGAGGTTGTTGGGGAAGATCATATGGAGCATAAAATGGGGAGCGGGGGGGAAGCTTTTCCTCAATTTCAGAGTGACTATATTTTTAACGATGCACTTTGTGCAATATTTGAGGTCTTCATAGCGTAAAGTCTTCAAGTTTGTGAAGCCCCGAAATTTTGTAGGTCGACACAAACATTTCGGAGTAAAGTACCGTGCACATTTCATCCACAAGATGAAAGCAAATTAAGTTCATCCTAAAAGATTGAGTCTCACACAAAAGCAAACATGTTCCATCAACAATACAACGCCCCATTAAGAAATGAACAGGGTTCACCACTAACACAAGATACAGGATCCTACAGCTGGTGTAAGAGTTTACAAAAATGTGCACCAATAAGACAGGACATGCTTCTAATAGTGTGTCACAGGACAAAGGATTTTCCAATATTTTCGTTTCCATATAATATTATTGTAGATTAACACTAAAACAAACGGAAAACTCCGTTCGCAAATTATACCTCTAAAGAGTAATCTTAACTGTGGGAACCACCTATTTTCAACCATCACCAACTACGTAATTTTCCAGTGTATGCATGGGTTTAGTACGATTCTGTGTAAAAAAATTAATTCACAGCGTTAACTAGTTGATCTTTGTAATGGTGAAGTTCTGTGTTTTCTTCGCGGTACGGCCTGAATTCTTAAATAACATTTAGGTGGCTTCCGTTTCAAACGTAAGAAACCCGACAACTGACACTCGTTACAGATGACAGTTACATGTTTGAATTCAGCCAATCAATTTACGCCATGTGCGTCGGTGAGTTACAAACAGTAGATCAGTCAGGAAACGATAATAAAGGAAGAAGAATTGAAGCTTGTCTAGAAATACACATAGCAAATGCAAATTTGAGATGGTACATTACCTTTCTTTCGTTTCCAGCACAACCACTTGGAATGTGTGATCCGTAGTGCCATCCTAAAAATTAAAAACGCCAAGGGTTATGTTGGCACAAGACTATTGTCACGAACACAATGCATTCTTACACTTACACTACAACTAACAGTAACCCCATGTTGCACCGCTAGTCAAAATATTTAACGCCGTTTACAAAACTCGAAGGTTAATTATGGAATTCACGACATAAGACCCTCCCTCACCCCGAAGCCAAATTAATCTAATCCTCACCACACACATCTTCTTTAACACTGGACGCAGAGGCCAGAATAAAAATCCTTTGTTCCTGGTAGGGATCGAACCCTCGACGTCCAGTCCATAGTCAGTAATCCGGCTCATTTCTAACATTAAATTAATATTAATAATATTGGATACTGGGAACGACCCGTTCTTCAAGTTCCTGAGCACTGCGGGTCCCAACTTTTCGTTGGCTCGATCTATAGACATTCGGTAGGACTCCTTGGACGAGGGATCGGCCCGTCGCAAGGCCTCTACCTGTACACAGGACAGACATCCATGGCTTGAGTGGGATTCGAACCCACGGTCCCAGCGACCAAGCGGACCTCAATATTAATAACAGAAGGTATAAATTAAACAACTGAACCAATTATCCAGGAAATAATCACTTATATCGTAAAGCTAGTAATTATAACGAGTGGGCTAAAATAATGTCGATGCAATTATTCAGCTCCGGATATCAGCCTTAAAAGTCCGTGGCGTTTTGGCCTCGATCCAAAAGTTTTCATAGCCACATCTCGCACTATTTATTCCACGAGGCATAAGCGAGTGACAGATAAAGATCAGTGATAAGCATATGGACCAAAATGATCGTAACTTCAACTCGGTATGATTTTAATTCGAATCACCTTGTGTAGAACCATTTAAAGCAATCAAGTCTGTCAATTCCTTTTAGAGAGTTAATGCAACTCAATATACCTCTTAATACAGAATGTTCAAACTACTACGACGCGTGTGCTCAGATTTGAACCCAGTGTCAAGTTATAATGACAGACATCGCGGAATTTTTATGTTTGTTTTTTTTCCCCAGATAATGCACGGGTCAGCTGAAATGCAGAATAGTGCAGATAAGCGATGTCAAAATGAATTATATTTCTCATTCTCTATATAGGAATTTTAAGTACCCAGCTATCACCACGCTGACCCCAAGGTCGTTCATGATGACACATCGGCATACGTCATTCGTTTCTGTTTCAGTCTACTGTGACACTATCTTCGCCTTTATGACTTTAACGTACACGATAAAACCCCTAAAATTCAACTTGTGATTTAGCCACACGCATTCGCGAGAGACAAAGCTAAAAAAACTGTAAAACATACTGCACCCAAAATGAGAAAAAAACTACAACCACTGGCTTATAAACAAGTTTTACACACGATTAAATGCTGACAGTTGACATCTTAACCTCGATCTGACCCTAACAATATCTGGTTAACAGCGGAAAACATGAAGACTCTAAATATATAATTCTTCAGCTACTTGCTACTCCCCCTCAAAACGAAACTTTCATCATGGGCCCATCTTCTCGAACAACCACAAACGATGTCAGTCCCGAAACAAAATTATGACCATCACTGCTCGCAAATTTCCACAAAATCTACATTCTACCGGAATCTACAGTAAGACTAAATGTTACCACTGCAATTTATACTTCTAGAGCTTGTGAGGGTGATTAAGTCGAGAAGAGTGAGATGGGCGGGACATGTAGCGCGCATGGATGGGACAAGAGGTGTGCACCGGGTACTGGTTGGGAAACCTGAAGGGAAGAGACCGCTGGGGAGACCTAGACGTAGATGGGAGGATAATCTCAGGCAGGAGGAAGCCTGAGGGGGAGAGACCTCTGGGGAGACCTAGACGTAGATGGGAGGATAATCTCAGGCGGGA